GCAATTCATTCGCGCGCTCTCGAGCCATGCCGGTGAGTCGCGACGAGACGCAGGCAGCCTGGCGGAACTCGTCGAGGTCGGAGTTCGCAACTGACCATATCATCACCCCCCGCGCCCAGCGTTGGGAAGCCAGGATTGCTGCTCGGGCCACCAAGTGTGGAGGTGACGCATGCTGCCGTCGCCAGCTATTGCGCCCACCCAGATGAGGCAGCTTGCCAGGGCGAGCATGCCAACTCCGATGGCGTTCCATCCGGAAAAGATATCACTCCATGGATCAAGAAAGTGATGGGGGCCAGGGGACCAGCGACGGCCTTGCTCTGACCGCGAGCCTCGGAGATATCGTGGGTCCCCGTCCCGAATGTGCTCCTCTTCGTCAGCGCATTGGGTATAGCCTTGTTTCGCGTCGTTACGGCTATCTTTATACTCAGGACACTTCGCAGCATAGTTGCGTTCATGCCCCCCGTGTTTCTCGTCGTCACTGCGCAGAGGATCGCCGACTTCAAGATAATCAACACGAACATGCATCGGGATCTCGTCCTCCTGGTCTGTAGAGAACCGGCGGGGCGGGTGGTGCTTAGCTGCCAAATACAATGACAACGTAGATACGTAATCCCAGGCCTGCTGCACATTTCCGTGGAGGTATGACAACACAGTTGTCCAACACTCCGCCGAGGGCTCACTTTTATTATCGTTCGCATCCGCCTGTGGCTCTCAAGGCGTTCGCAAAACAACTACGTGACGATAGGCCGACGCTGTTGATGGGAACCGGTCGTTATTTTCAGCGTGAGGTCCGATGGGCCCCGAAAGCGATTCAGTTGGAATGCGCCCTGGGAGAAACAACCAGGTTGCGGTGGCGACGGGTGGGCGCCGCGCTCCCTGTAGATCATGATTTTTTGTTACTTTGCACAGGTAGGCGTCTATGAAGTACGTCTTAGCGCACATGAAGAACATGAACACGAAATGCATGATCCAGGATATCGTTGCCGAGCACGAAATCCTCCAAAATGTGGAAGGAAGCGAATGGTCCGAGAGTGACGGTGGTGCCACACAAACAATGGCGGCAGCATGCATGTAGGTAAGAACTGGAGCTCCGCTACCAACTATGAAAAAGGAAAGTTCGGAGTGGGAGCCTTTTTTTTACCTGAATGTAGCAACGTTACTAAATTGCAAATAAAGCGGGCACCAAAACTGCAGAGGAAAAGGGAGACAATTTAAAAAAGCAGCGCAGGCAGATAGCAGGGATCAATGGGAGACCGACCGTTCGAATAGGATTGGCAGGAGGAAAAGGAGAAAGAGGAGGAGCATGAGGAAGGAAGAAGAGGAGGCCGAGGACGAACAGCAGCAACACAAGCTGAAGTAGGAAAAACGGGAGAAGCAGTAGAACCACGGGAAGGCGGAGGAGGCGACATGATACGGGCGAGAAAAATGAAAAATGACTCGGGTCCAGAGGTGTCCCACGCTCGGGCGAGAGAATGACGGGAGCAAAACGCCGATCTGAAAATGAGGCCCACACTGCAGCGGGAACACGATTTTGATCGAGAACGCTCGGAGCGAAAAACCGTGAGAAATTGCGCCTTGTGAGATACCCCGTGCAAAAACAGATGCGCGGAGAGGGCGGGATACCTCCCACACGTAGTCAAGGGAGGGAGGAGAGTAGTAGCCATACTGTGTGATTGCAGTGGGTGTGGAGGGCTGGGGGTGGGGGAAGGGGGCAAGAGACGTGGCATGGAAGGAGGGGTAGAGGGAGGATGGATGGGGATAGATGGAAGGGGAGAGCGGGGGGGGAGTTGGAGAAGCACTGCACTACGCAAGTCTCCCGGCGCTGGAAGCAACGATAGGCGGCGACGGAGCTGGCTGGCGTGTTTCGCCTACGCCCCCAGCTTGAACCGAAAGACATAAGCGGCGCCCGCCCGCGCGCGCCAGAGAGAGAGAGAGAGAGAGAGAGGAACGATAACTCTGGTTTCGCTATCGACCGCAAGGAACCTGGACCTAGATTCCTCCGCTGCGCCATGTGTGTCGCTGACGAGATCCACCACCAGCGGAGCAGAGGAATAATGCGCACAAGGAAGCTCGAATGCTTTCCAACACGGGCCCCAAACAGTAGGATATTGCATTACCGATTTGGCCTCTCTGTGGTTCGAAATAAGCGTGATGGAATACAGATGCTGCGACATTTGCACATGCGACATCCATACGCATATGCAGATGTGTATCACTGAACGTCGAAAACCGGCCACAGGCCGACAAGGAGGTTGGGAGGGTGAAGCAAACGACGGGACAACCACCGGGACATACGCCCCATCAAACAACTTATAAGGGTCTTCCTACCAACCGAGGTCACCATTGATAGATTCCACTATGTGCAACAATATCGGTATCAATATACATACTGGTACCACTGCATATCTGGATACCGATCCCAACATCAACCAATGGATATCACTATCGATTTACCGATATCGCTGTCCATCTACCGATCTATCGCACGATCCGATGTATCCGTGTACTGGCCCGCCGACCAGAATCTCAAGCCACGATCAATCAAGAAATCTACCATCGGCGCAACCATCGGGCCAACCATAGGGACAACCTCTATTGGTCTACCACCCTAATCACCTGACGATCTATGTGCCTCTCAATCGATCCCACAGTCGATCCTTTCGATGTTACCATGTATATGTATATATATATACATACATATAAATATGTATATATATATGTATGCATCGACCTCGCTATGCGAATATCTCGCTATCCATCCATCGATCTCACGGCCTACCTACCGATCTCACTAGCAAGCAATCAATTTACCATCGGGACAACCATCGGAACATCCATCGGGATAACCATCGGGATAACCATCGGGACAACCATAGTGGTAACTATCGGACAACCACCGTGACAACTATCGGGACAACCATCGCGGCAACAATCGGGCCCATCACCAGGGCAACCTCCATCGGTCTATCAATCGATCGTCCTCACTGTCTGTCGGTGCATCTCCCTCACGGTAGATAGATAGCAATGCCACGCTATTCATGTGCATGTAGAGATATCACCATATAGTGTGTACGTGTGTATATCTATATGTATATACATGAACAGACCTGACTGTCTATCTGCCAATCCAACTATCAATATATTTGCCGGTCTACAGATGCTTCTCGGATGTTATCAATGGCTTGGTGCTCGCATGATGTTGATCTGCGCGCACGGGGGCGCGCGCCTTCGGCCCGCATGGTATGCCTTGACACGGGCACGTGATAGATCACGCATGTGCGCTGCGTTGTGCTTTTTAAATTGCCCGAGACGTACCCAACCACGCACAACCCCTTCTCCACGCGAAGCGAGTATTTTTGCATGGGCACTGCAGACAAAAGACCTCACCGCCAGATATGCACGGTCCGCGATGCCCTCATCTCCGCCGTGCCTTCCACGAGCATACGAAAGGTGCGACAAGTGCGCACTTCGTAGCCTCCCACCAAGCCGCGTGGTCTCGGCTGGATCCGCGTGGCCCCGACTCCGCTGGACCTCCCAGGAGCCAACGGAAGTGGCAACATTGCGCAGTTCGCAGCATGCCAGGGGGCAGCGAGGTCTGAACTGAGTGCGCGTGGCCCCCGACTCAGCTGGACCTCCCAAGAGTCCACCAACGTGGTGACGGTTGCGCAATTCGCAACCACCCAATCAGCAGCGAGGTCACTTCTGGGCGCGCGTGGCCCCCGACTCCGCTGGATCTCCCAGGTGCCCACGAACGTGGCGACGGTTGTGCAGTTGGCAGCCCCCCAGGGAGCAGCGAGGTCTCAAATGAGTGCCCGTGGCCCCCTACTCCGCCGTGCCTCCCAAGAGCCGAATCGTCTGGGTGCGCGTGGCCCCCGACTCCGCTGGACCTCCCAGGAGCCCATGAGAGTGATTGCGCAGTTCGCAGCCACCCAAGGGACAACGAGGTTTTGCGCACTCCCCTGCTCCAGCGTGCCTCCCAGGATTCCTTGCACGTGGCGACAGTTCTGCAATTCGCAACCACCCAGGGAGCTGCGAGGTCTGGGGTACTCCTTTACTTCGCCGTGCCTCCCAGGAGCCCGCCAAAATGGCGACCATTGCGCAGTTCGCAGCCACCCAGGGAGCAGCGAGGTCTCGGGTACTCCCCTCTACCGCCGCACCTGCCAGGAGCCCACGAGAATGGCGACAGTTGTCAGGTCATAGCCACCTAGGGAGCTGCGAGGTCTCGTCTTGGTGCGCACGGCCCCCGACTCCGCTGGACCTCCTTGGAACCCATGCAAATGAACAGTTGCGCAGTTCGTAGCCGCACAGGGAGCAACGAGGTTTCGCGTTCTCCTCTACTCCGCCGTGCCTCCCAGCAGGCCACGAAATTGGCGACAGCCGCGCATTTCGCAGACACCCAGGGAGCTGCCCGGTCTCGCGTGCTCCCCTACTCCGCCGTGCCTCCCAGAAGCACACGAAAGTGGCGACAATCGCGCAATTCGCAACCACCTCAAGAAGCTGCGAGGTCTCAGGTACTCCCCTACTCCACCGTGCCTCCAAAAAGCCGGCACCGAACCTGCGGTATACCAACTAGAATAAAAAGCATAGGGCACGAAACGGTTATTTACGATGAACTGTATAACACGTTTGAAATATAAAACGGTACATAATTACACGGGCACGAACGTTTGGCCAGCTTCCGTGCCCCCGAGCAAGAACGGCAACGGTGAGGGAGACGACTGCGAGAGCACGACTTGTACAGAACACTGCAATGATCAACCGTTCGAGTCGGGCAAGGAAGAGGAGGAGGAGCAGGAGGAGGAGGAGGAGGAGGAGGAGAAGAAGGGGGGACAAGAAGAGAAAGTAGGGGGGGATGAGGAGGGATGAGAAAGGGGGGAGGAAGAGGAGGACCAGGGCGATAAGGGCCAGGATAAGGAGAAAGGAGCATGTGGCGGGGCGCGAGCATGCTGACGCTCCCGCGCCCCAAAGGCGCCTCCATGGCGGACATGGCACAATAACGATCAAAGGCGTCCATATCTGTTACCTGCGGGACCAGCTAGACGACAACGAAAAAAAATACAGCTCCATCCCCAGACACTACTTCACACGCAATGTGGCGCACGCGCGAGTTGTCAAATGTGGACGGAATCAACACAGCGGAGCTGACGATTCATGGTGCATTCCCAGAAACAACCCTCTCAAACTACTGCGGCGTGCATGACGATCACGGACGTCGTCTCATAAAGCCAGGCCCCTGTCCGTGACCCCGTAGCCAGATGATCCGATGGCTTGGCCCGTTGCTGTGTACTCCCATGGCCACTTCGCAGCTCGATCTCCAAGCGCACACCAGGAGTTGTCATTTACCACGCTCATACGATGACACCAACTAGTGCACACACGATGGTACCAAACACTCTCACGTAGATCTCCCCAACTGGCGGCGACCACACCTCGAAACGGCCCGATGGTACGAATCCTGCAGCTCCGTTCTTGGTCGCCGGGTCCCCTCGAAACCTGAAGCGCCAATCAAGTTGGCATTGCCCGCGCGCACGCACACTTGTCTTGTTCAGGTGCGTGCCTTTCAGGCGTCGATCCTCGCGCGGACGCTACCACAGCCTCAGGCAAGGGCCAGCGTGGGCAGTACAAGAGCGCGCAAGCACCGTTCATCACTGTTGACTCCGCTTCCCCCTCCCCTCGACTGCTTCCTCCTCCTCCTCCTCCTCCTCATCCTAGCCTGCCGTGGGGAGGACCGAATGGTTTCCAACCCGCGCAAAGGACACAGATTTCCGCGTACACAACCTCGGCCCGCCTTTCCTACCCGAGGCAAAGAAGGGGGGAAAGGGAGTCAGTTTCGAAGCCGGCTCATGCTGAGACGATTGCTGTTCACTTGGTGATTCGCTATGACGATCCCGACCTAAAACCCGTTTGCTGCGTCGGTTGTGGAAAGAATGGGAAACATCAGCCAATAATCAAAATAATGGGACATCATACGACTGAATTGGACACAGAAGGTAGCAGGAGCACAGGGGAGTACGATGATACAGCTACCGAACCACTGGGGCAGAGATCGGAGCCAGAAAGGCGAGATATGCTACAAGAACATGTGCACGTCGACCCTGATTGCAAACCACATCCCCAAGGAGACCCTCATAAGCGGTTTCCTATCCCGTTCTTTATACAGGGCAAGACACCAGGCATCATGATAAACTCAAGGGCAATTGATTTATGACTCTTTATTGCATATTCAGCATCAGCGCATGCGAAGACGTATACAACGGTCTGGATATAACGGGAGCTTACCAGAGTAAGAACTAAACCATGACTAGTGATAGGAGGTGGCATCAGCAGTCAGTTTTCTCGACGTAGAACTACAGACGGGACGTATACATAGACACAGGGGGACATAATAGAAACGCCGAATACAACATAGAACGTGAGAACGGAGTGCGTGTTGGAAAGTTTTCGGTGGCCACGACATACTACGACGTAAGGCCCACCTACAACGGAACGACAAAGACGATTCGCAACATCGGCCATACAACCATACCAGCGGGAACCCTCCCACTAGTGAGGAGATGTGTGACCCTTCGGGCTGCGGGCAAGAGGCTGCAACTGGTAAAAGCAAGGGGACACAGGGACCATGTATCGGTGGGGCTCGTGCTTGGTATCTCTAGGAGGAGCTCCTTCGACAATCACGAAAGGAGGAGGGGGCCGCAATTTGACCGCGACCGCCTCATGGACTGTCTCCGGAAAAAGCACTAGACAACGCGACTTCTTTGCTTGCTTGGATGCTTGGCAAAGAAAGTAGAAGAGGCAACGCACATGTGGAAGGAAATGACGTGATCGAAGACAGTGTGCCGCATGCCCGACGCGGCTTGGACAGTGCGAAGCGGCACAGCCAGAGATGCCCCGTCCAAGCGGGACGCACGTGGGCACAGCCACTGGGGCCTCCGGTGGGAGTCCCCATGGGGCCACAAAGCGCCGTGCTGGGTGGCCCGGGACGCATGTGGACACAACCGCTGGGGCTTTCATCGGTGGAGCTCCCTATGGGGCCACGAAGCGTGCGAGGGGTGCACCGACATGGTTGACCCGTGCGGAGGGCAAAGGCACGGATAGAAGGAGGAAGAGGGGCGAACGACGAGCCGAGGGGGGCGACGTCAGTCCCACGGAATGCCCGCCGCGCCGCCGAGCAGAGGCGCCGAGCCTCAGAGCGCCGCGGGAGGCCTGGACGATGTTGCTGATATTCTGGAAGATGCTGGCGGACGTGATATCGCCGTTGTTCAACTGGGTGCTCATGTCGTGGCACGTGCGATAGGCGACCGGAAGTCGCACGATGACGTGGTTGATCTTGTTGTCAGGCATGCTCGCGCTGCTGAAGTTGTTGTCGTGCAGGCCGAGCCGAGCGAGGACGCATGGGTGTAGCTGTCCCCGCGGGAGGGCCACGTGGTGCCACAGCCTCTTGCAGACGACGTAGTGGCCGACGGAGTCGACGTGGCACTTGGGATTGCATCCGAATAGTCACCCTCGCCAATTTGGCTGTACACGTAGTCGATGCGATGTGGCCCACCCTTCAGCGAGAGTCTTCATCACTGGCCAGACTTGAGAAGGTGGGAGCCGTGCGGTCTCGGCACGAAGGCGGCGCCGAGGTCCGCGGTAGGTCGGCAGCTGCAGGAGCATGGTTCTGTCGCCGTTGTAGCCGTAGTCCTCGGCGACATCCATGTTTGGGTCGGGAATGGCGCTGGTTGGGCCGTTCTCGATGTCAACCTCAAGGATCCATTGGCGACGCGCTAGGTGCTTGGTCATGGCGTTGTCGAATTGTGCCTGGAGCTCCGCAGATCTAGCGCCGCTGAGGGTCCGTGCGCGATGGTTGCGATTGAAAGAGGCAAAGCTCCAGGCCCCCCAGCAGATGCGTCGAGCTCGGGCGAGGAGTACATTTTCATATTCGTCTGGAAACAGAACTTGCATACTGCAGCGACGTAGGAAACGAAAGACATAGCGCAAACACCAATTGTTCCAGCCAGCTTCATTGGAGATGCCCTCGTTGTTGGCGTAGAGATTCGGCGGCCAATTACATGCCCGGCGGCGTAGAAGTTCCGCGGCAGGGTCGCGCTCTGAGCCGGCGTCTCGGCGATCTTGCTCTGTGTCATCATCGGATGCGTCGGCTGGCTGGCTAGGTAGAGCATTCGAGCTGTCCGTCTGGAGGTGGGCGCTTGGCAGCAGCGGGAACCTGCTTCGCAATCGTTTGGCGATCGCGATGTCGAAATTATTGTCGTAGAGCATGCGTTGCAGCGCGCGTGCGCGCGTGGTTTGTGGCGACTTGCGGTTGGCAGCCCTGGAGCGGTCAGCTCCAGCTGCGCGTCGGGCGTGGCGGGGGCGGCGCGCTTCGGACGCAGCGTCGCCAGCCCGCTGGCGCCCGCGGCGAAGATGTCCATGGGCGCGCTGGGGGTCGCGAAGCATGCGCGTCATGATCTCGAAGATGGAGCCCTTCTCCGCGGGGCAGTTGTCTCCACGAGCAGCGCGCTGAAGATGATGGGCCACCGATATCTCAGATCTCCAGCAAGCAGCGCTCCACTTGTCTTGTGCAACTCAAACCTGAAGGAGATGTTCCTCAGCTGCAGCGCGGAGTAGCGCGCGAAGGCGGCGCCGCGATGTGATGGTAGAGGTAGCTGCGCGCCAGATGGCGGCGCCCATTAGAACCTCGACGTCCATCGGCATTCCAGCGCCAGCTCATATCTTCACACCTACGATATCAAGCATGGCCGGAGTAGGCGGTAGGCCTGTTTTTTGTTTCAGGAAAGGGTCCACGTAGGGCCCCCGAGGGCCCACTTCCTGATGTGGGCTAGAGGCCTCATTAGCATCCCTGAGCAGGTTCACCTGGTAAGAATACAACCAAGTAGAGTCCCCTGGCGATACCATAGTCGCCACACAGGCCGCAGTGGCCTGGTCGGGGAGGGCAAGTAACTGCCGGCTGTGTGGCCTCCTAGTGGACCCAGGCCCGTCGTCGCGCAGTCCTGAGGCCGTGCAGATCTCGCGCAGAGATCCCGCACCTGCAGCAAGGTCTGGTGGAGCAGCAGATATACCAGAGTAGGATTCGCGAATGTGCTTCAGCGCGTCGCGTTGACCAGCATACGTCGCACCCTCCGACAAGAGCCAGGAAACACACACACACAAAGGAATTTCACACAAAGGGTTTTGGCACCACCAACGGTGCAACGCATGTGCACACATACCACTGGATCCCCATTGATCCGAACCAGGGTTGATGCACGGCCGTGCCCTAGGACGCAGTTGACACGCATGGTGCGGCAAGGCTGTCGGCGGCGACGAGATCCCAAGATCCGCTACCGACATTCCATAATTGTTTGGCACAGCCAAACCGCCGTGCAACGTCAGTTTGTTCATCCGTTCGCAGCAGCACGCGTCGCGGCAGCAGAACGCAGTGGCGCGCGCGGACATTCGGGGCAGGCGACGCGGCTGGCCAGCTGCCAGCGCGACTTCGGCAGAAGAGCCGAAATCCACGTAGGATCGTTTTGGGCGTGGTATCCGGCGCAGCTGCGTCGCACTGCCAGGCGCCGCGGCCTTGCGATTGTAGCGCCAGGCCCCGCCCGCTCCTCGAGGCGGGAAAGCAAGCCCCACGCAGAGGAATCGCGCGTGCTCTTGCGGGGGCGGCGAAAAACATCGCACGCAACGGAAATTCATTTGCGCGCCCCCCGCGCCGGCAGTGTAACCAGACCGCGCGCAAAGGAATTGCACGATAATTCGGGGCACACGAAGAAATTACACCGACGCCCTTTGAGTTGCGCTCTTCGCGCGCGGCGACAACTCCGATCTGGAAAGGAAGGGGGCGCGGGACAAGGCAAAGCAGGGGAAGAGGAAAAAGAAGAGGAGGGCAAGAAAGAAGCGCAGGAAGCAACGGAAGGAAGCCAGGGCGCGCGCAGGCGAAGCTAACACTGCGCGCCGAGACAGTTGTTCGTTCGTTCGGTTGGCCGCGCGGCAGATGGATAGAAAAAGAATTGTTTGCTGACTACCGAAGGGACTTCTTGG